TATATATATATATATATATATATATATATATAAATTTAATCCATTCATAAGATAAAACAATTATTATTATTCATATAATAATTCATAAGATAAAAAAAAAATATATATATATATACATACATATAGTTTCTTTATAATCGGTCTTTTAATTCTACTTTTATAAAACTGTAGACAGAATTTTCAAAAAGAACAGCAGATTTTGAAACTCTGTCAATCATACACGGTGACGGTCATATATTACACCGGATTCGCAAGCGATAAGTTTCAGCGCAAGGAGAAAAAATTCCCCCCAGGCTTGTCTCTGATAGAATTCGATGGATAATCGAAAGATCTCTGGATTATTTTTCCGCGGTGGTCCGGGACACCCAGCGTGCGATAAATCGAAGCTCACCGAGTGTGCAGCGAAGAGCATCCCGCTAACTTACGTAATCGCTCTCCGCCGTGGCGGTTCGCGCGCGCAGACCCGGGGACTTAATCTGCATTGGTGCACCTTCCGCGGGTGTGCGGGCGCAGCGGAAATTCGCCGCAACAACGCGCCTAAACAATTTGCATGTTCGATCAGCGTGCCGGCGGATCGTGATCGAACGGGACGATTATCGATCGTTCGTTCGTCCGTCCGTTCGAACGGAAATGAGAGGCGCGTTCCCGATCAGGAATATATTCTCGCCGAGAGGAAGTATCGCGCGGCGCGTTCGATCGAATGAAAAGTCTCCGAATTGAATTATAGCGCGCGCGGAAGTAAACGAAACGCGAAGAATCGTAAAGATCGCGAAAAATCGCAATAATCATGAAGAATTCTAATAATCACGAAGAATTGCAAAAATCACGGAGAGTTGCAAAAATCATGAAGGATCGCGAAAAATTGCGAAAAATCGTGAAGAATCGCGCGCAATTTTGGACGATCCCTCTCTCATTGAGAACGTCCTCTTCGCCGGGCGAGCTAGGAGCAGCCGTTGTTGGGCGCCTCAATTGAAAGGGTGTACGTAATAATCGTAGATGGAGCAAGAGACTCATCGTCATTAATCGTCTCGCGCGCGCGGTCATCTTCTGAATCGCATCGTCGCTTCTCTCTCTATCTCTTACTTTTTCGCGTTTCGCGCACCCAGTCGCGTCATCGGTGCGATGACACAAAAGGAAACTGTAATTATCGTCGAGCGCGATAGCAGTAAAAAAGGAAACAACGTGCAAAATAACGAGAAATGTGTCGGCGTACGCTCGACTTCAACGAAGTTCACATTTCTCCAGTCAGGCCTCATTAATCTTTCCAATCGTTAACATCTTGTTTGAAATATACATTATGTGACTGTTGATTACTCGGCTAATCCGTCATTTTGACGACCTGGCGTATCGCGTGTATTTTATGATATCCGGTTGCGATGGGAACGATTAGAAAAATCAATGAGACTAGGTTTAATGAACGATAATGTTTTTTGGATATTTAATGCGCGTGAAAGAAAAAGTGAAAAAAGATAAGAGGTAAGGATCGGAGAAACAGGATCGACGATTTCGCGAACGGCATGCTCGGGACACCCGGTAGAGTCCGCGCACATACCAATATCGCCTCGCAAGGAATTGGGCCTCGTTATCGCGCGATCGTCACTGCGACGTTCGTATCGGCCGATTTCGATACGCCGCCTCGGAGGTGCGAGTGGATGCACGTAGACGGGCCCGTGCGATTTCCGCGTCGCGCGCGCGACATGGCCATCGTTACGACGTTTTATCGATTGTCATCGCTGCACACCGCTATTACGTAAACGCCTCCGTTATACTCGCGCTGAGTCTCATCTCGGCGTTTGCCGTTATCGGCCGGCGGCGGCGAGGGCTGCGACCGGGTCGATTTCGGGGACGGTGGAGCTTCTCGATCGTCGTCAATTCTCTTTCTCTCTTTCTCTCAAGAGCTGACGACGCCTTCGCGAAAACATAGAACGGTTCCGACGAATCTGCGGAGATCCGCTCGCGTCTCCTCAAGCCGCTCCGCAGCTTCTTTTCGAAACTAAGACGTATATATAGACGACTCCCCGTGAGGAAACGAGACGAAATACTGGAGAAAGAGAGAGATATTCGTCCCTTCAGCCGCGTTTCTGACAATGGTTCCCTCCGATCCTTCGTGAACCTGCACGTTTCATTCCGAAGGCACAAAACGAGAACAAAATTCATTTAGTCTCGAGTTCCGAGAACACGACACGGTCCATCCGGCGAAGAGGATGGGGACCGGTGAACGTGCGAGACACGATTGGAAACGGCCGGGCTTCTCGGTATCTCTTGAGGCGAAACGGTATGTGCGACGAGACTGTTACCTCGAAGGGAACAAATGACGGACAAATCGGGGACGAGAAGTACGGTTCACTCCATTGCGCGCAAATCTTAATCTTACACGTCGGTGTGGGACATTTTAACCGTGGTTTCGTCGTTGTTATAAATATACCACACGACAGGGACAAATTAGGCACCCGAGATGAAACGAATATGTATATTTCGAAGGCGAGAGAAAGAGAGAGCGAGAGAGAGAGAGAGACGGGGAAGAAATCGAGAGAAATGCAAAGATCATGCGTAGTAGTGCACGCGAAACGGGACAGTATCGTCGACTTCGCGAGGAATTTAGTCCCGTTCGACTCGGCCGATTGTAATTCCTGTGGCATTTCGAGGCGATACTCGGTTATCAACGATGGGGACTAATTTCGGCACGGTGAGCCGCCAGCCCGGAAACCCGACATCCCGGCTGTGCTCCTTCCCGATCTTCATTTCGTTAGTTTCCTCCCCTCTCTCTCTCTCTCTTTGTGCGTTTCTCCGACGACAGACATATACACGTTTCCCTTATCTCGCTCAAGCACATACCTTTCGAATGAATCTCTTCACAGAAGGAAGAGACGGATCGGATTGCGAATATTTTACCGAGGGTGGGAGGGAACAAGAAAGACGCCCGGTACCACGTTCCCACAAGAACGAGAGACGAGCCGAGCCTTTCTAACCTTAAAAGACGAACAAGGAAGGGGGGGGGGAGGAAGCCTCGTCCGCCGGCGAAGGGGACGAGGTTCGCCGGCTTCGCGCAACCGGGCGGGCGACGCCGACAGGATCTACGGATCGAAGTTTCTGGATCGCGTACATGTGACATAACGACAGCCAGGTCGCGCGCGCGCGAGAGAGAAAAACGCGCCCGGCAGACGAGGAAAATCGCACGCAGCGATCTCCGGTGTGACTCACCTACCTGAGGCACGAGCGACCACGGAGAGAAGCGGTTACGGGATGCGATCGGGGGACGACCGGTAGTGGTGGTGGTGGTAGTAGTAGTAGTAGACGCACCTTAGGGTCCTGCGCACGGACAAGCACACGTAGCAGCGGCAGCAAAAGCGCTCGAGGTGTCGTAGTTGCCGTACGAACGCCGCGCGGGTCGGAAACGAAGTGCCGAAGCGGCGCGACGCGGAACGGCGCGGGATCGCCTCGCGACAGCGCCGCGAGCCTCTCCTCGTCCGTTTCAGCCAATCGCCACCCTTCTCGCGGCCCCCCTTCCGCCGGCGAGGCCGACTCGCCCGCTCGCTTGCTCTCGCGCGTCGTTCCGTCGTTCCGCTATTTCTGCGGAGGAAACTTTCGGCCGGCTGCTCGCGAGCGAGCGATGGCCCCCGTTGCTACCTGAAATTCTGCCGCCGCCGGGACCGCGTTTCCGAGGCGATCGCGTTAACACTTTGACGGATTCTGCTGTTGGTCTCGGGAAAATGACTGCTCGAACGGTCTCGGCCGGCAGGTCGCGAGGGCTCACGCACAGGAAAAAATTTTCTGTTGAATTTAACATATTTCGCTTATGCACGGTCCGCTCAAATTTTTTTGTCAATTCAATACAAGGTGAATATGTTGAAAAGTAACATAAATATTATATAAAAAATTAATACAAAATCTTTACGTTAATCGGCACTGAAATATAAAATGTGCCATTTTAACACTTATGTATTGAATATATCGAATGTCGACATAAGATGTTGAGATGGTATTAACATGATATGTTAAATTAACACACGGGTATGTCAGAAATTCAATACAAAAATTTTAACAAGAGCCGATCTTAACACAAGAACAAAATGTTTTTTTACTGTGTTTCACGATGCTCTGGATACATGAGCATCTTCCTTGTACACGATTCTGCATATTATTTAGCTTTACAGGATGATACGATAACTATTGCCATTTTGAGTAGCTTAAAAAGATGAAAATATTTTATTAACGAGGCTACATAATAAAAAATGTTGTTAAGATGAGTGTGTTAACATGATATTTGTGTAGTTTTTAATAAATATTTGCGTATTTTTTAACACATTCCCATGTTAAAGTAACACACAATTTCCGTGGACCGTTTTTAACCAAATTTTTTTTACTATGTAGATGAAGATGAAAAATATTTAGTAGGGATTTGCAAATATTTATAGGGGTTTGCAGTAATGACCAATGCAATGCAATTGCTTTGTTAGATATATTTTTTTCCCTCACTCTTTCTCAAGTTTCAAAGATACTCAATATAGTAATATAGTGGTTATAGTTTCATCCTGTAGAGCTCTTATGATATTACAATTGTGAAAATTGTTCTTCAGTGGGAATATCTTTTTATAAGGTGATAGCTTGACAGCGGCCGTCAAAGTGTTAAGACGGTATACAATTGATAAAGATTGAGGGTTACCAATTGAAGACTGGAATTCAACGACGAATCGACTGATCCCGATCGTGGTTCGTCTTTCTGACGATTAATCGGTTGCAATCTTTAATCCACAATCTTCCATCTTCGATATTTAAGGTGCAATACACTAGACGTTTCGTAGATTTCAAACTATTTTTCACGTAGTCAATGGAAGATAAGGTGCGCAACACTTTCGTCTCGACAAACTGTAGAACGCATTCGGTATGTTCAATAGGACAGTGTATTTTTAAATAAATTTTCCTATTGGATGCGAATGCATTGTGAAACTTATCGAGGTAGAAGCAACGCAACCTTTCGTTCATTGACTGTACACGGGGTGTGATGACGTCAGAACACTTTGAAGCGTCTGAAATCCGTATTAAACTATATATATGGTATGTAGATTAAAATAGATATTATTAGATACATAGATGTAGATTAGAATAGCATAAATCACGTGCCCAGTAAATATTAAGTAATAGCAACATTACACCAATCAATGAGGCCTGTTACATGGCAATGTTAATCCGGTTTAGTAACAATCGTTAAGCTAATAAACCCTTGCATCCGATTAGTATATTCTTTTAGATCTAAAAATATATTCCATTTAAATACAAGCGGATCATTAACTACGGATATTATTAAACCGGATTAACATTGCCATGTAATAGGTTTCAATTATAATTTCACTCAATAATGAAGTGCAATATAACATATAGATCTGTTGTTTTAATTGAACAAATGTTAAAATGGACTTTCGTTCCTTTAACGATAAATTATGTACTAATTTCGCTCTAAAAGCAAAAAGTGAAATTTAATTCAGCTGAAAAGCTTAGACCTTACCCAGATAGACACATTTTAGTATATTTTCTGATCGTGACTAACGTAAGTACGTGAAGATGTGTCCTCATATAACAAGAATCTGACAGTTTATAAAAAAAGTCATTTGATACCATGAAAATTGCAGCAATATTGCAATAATATTCTGATGCCATGAATATTGTTGCTTACTTTACTCGAAAGAGAACGCGTAGGTTATGTGTTTTGACAGTAATGGAGATGTCACTTTTCTTGTCAACGAATTTTAGTCTAGTGTTTATTTAATTGGACGAACTGAGATTTTCTTTCTGTATAATAATAATTAGTTAAATAGTGCGCGCGTAGCGCCGGTCTATATTGATTTAGTAATAATAATAAAGAAATACTTTAATTAAGATTAAGGCGTAATAAACGAGTATTTCTTAAAACAAGCATATTTTAAACACGTAATGTTGCAATGGTATCACAAAATATATATTAAATGTTTACATACTATGTTCAGCATTTTTGTCTATCCGGGTATGTTGTATTTAACAGTTACATCGTTGAGATCGGAAAATCTTTGACGCAATGTTACTATTAGGCGGTATTTACCAAATAATTCCAATCTTCAATCTCCGATACCTAAGGTGCGATCTATTTAACGTTGCAAGTACTTCGAAGCATTTTTTATACAAGGAACGTGATGACATTATTATATAAATAAACTGTTCTGAAGCTGCTCTAATGGAGTCTGCCTTTAGTGTGACACAGGCTTAATGGACGTTATCCCTAGTTTGACACGGGCTTCAAGCGTGCCGCATGAATGAGCGAGCGAGGACGCGAAATCGAGTCATGCTCGTCCTCGAGTTCGAGCGAATTCATCGAGTCTCCATCATTTTTTCCTCCTTGGAAAGCGGATTCCCAGGAAGGAATTGGAAAAAGAAGAGTAGATTTCATTTCTCTCTCTCTCTCTCTCTCTTTCAGGCGTTTTCGCCCGTCTCGTCCTCCCGAGGACGACAGCGCGTCGTCGATGGCGCGCTCGAAGAATCTCTCCCGTTATCGATCGCATACAGACCGGCCGAGGCCCTTCGTCCACGTACCAAGGTCAAGGCCCGACCTCGCGCCAGCCAGCTCACGAGCCCTCCTCTCATCGGACGTACCGGTTTGGCCTCCTCGTGGTCCACCGATGCAGCTCCTACGCGACGTTTCGCACGCTCCCGAGGAGTTATGTAATCTGTGACTTTCGGCCAGGCCGGCGTCGCTCCGCTGTTTCCACAAGCGCTCGCGCTTTTCTGCGGGAGGGTGCGTCGATCGCATACCCGGTACGTTGCGACATTGTACACCCAGCGTGATTCGCATGTTTGCGATCCGACGCGACCCAGACTTAATTGGGATCTCCGAATTTCGACCGTAATTGGAGTTTCTAACGTGGACTTTTATTTCAGCCCCAGGAATGGAGCAGAAAAAAAGGAAGGAAACGCAAAAGAGGTAAGCCGATTTTCGTAACGAGAGACGAGAGAAGTTCTCCAGTTTTTCGTCTCTTTCCTCCCCTTTCTCTCTGTCTCCTCCCTGTAAACCGCGCGAGCATCCCGCGCTTTTTCGTCGCACCGGCACGACGAAAGCGGCAATATCCCAATTAGACTCGGGAATTAAAACGCGCCGCTGCGCGCGTATCGGCTCGGTCCGGTTCCGCGACGTTCCGACGTTCGGGGAGGGCGGTATATAGGTCACAGCGGATGGATTTCCGGAGAACGGCGGGATTCCGGGAGTGTCGGCCACCTCCGCCCCGCCACCCCACTGTTACGAAATCAGCTGTGCGCGCTCGGGTTGTTGTAGGTCGCGCCGGGGGTCCCGTCGCCACCCCCGTTTCGGAACCCACCACCCCCGCGACACACAGAGAGCGACACGGGGTTGGAGGGGCGTGGAGGGGCACTAAAGGTCGCACGAAGCTCTCGCCGGAGTAGATCAATACGAAAGCCACATGCCTACCTACCTACCTACCTTCCCTATCGCGCCAATAAGAATATCCGAAGGAGAGGATTGAGCCCTCTCATCGAGAGTGTCGCGCCCACGCGGTGTTTGTCGTGCGCGATGATAATCGTTTAATCTACAGAAGAATGGGGGAGGAGGGGAAGGTCGACGAAAAGAAGCCGTGTCGGTGCGTTGCACGCTGCATCTCACGGCCTGAGACGCCGATCGGGGAAGATTCGTGGATGCGGATATTACTAATCGGGGCTTTCTGTATTGCTGGGGGTGACACTGCACTCCAGGAGTCGAAATGTATTCTACCCTGTTTAAAAGAGCCGACAGAAAATGATCGAAATAAATTCTAATCTTATAACATCTTATTGCGACCAGTATCGTTTCAATCAAATGCACATTTTTCCCAAAATAGAAATATTACCTATTTCTTTCATTTTTAATTGTGTCTTGATTTAAATGATCAAGATCTTATGTAAATTTACATATTTTTCTATATTATATGTTGATCTATTTAATTTAATTACAAAATTAGGTTTCGATTATATATTGATATTTTACTTATATAATTCCATCGGATTTTTTAAGTAAAGTAGTCGGTCTCAGTCGAAAGTTAATAGCTTGCTGATACAAGCTCAATGACATTTTCGAGCTCGTTATTATATAGTTTGTTATTGGCTGATTATTCATTAAATTGTGGAATCGGTTTGGTAATTTAGCTGTTATCTATAGCCATTATATAAAACTTGAGAGATCGCACTGTCTATTCTAAAATATACAAGGTGTTCCGTTTTAAATGGGATAGATAAATATCTCAAAAACTATGTCATCGAGAGGGAAACATATGATGATAAAAAAAAAGTTAGGTATGAAAGTTTCTTATTTTTTCACGTAATATCACCCATTTCGCAGTAAAAATTTGGGGTTTCTATTTGAAAAATATAGTTTACTTTGAAATGACTTTAAAAAAACCAATTACTCGGTCATCTCAATATTACCATCATATTTCCTCTTCGATACAGTGCAATTTTTGTTTGAACTATATTTCTCGATGACACATAGTTTTTTTAAGATTTTCATCCATTCCGTTTAAAATAAGACATCTTGTATAATATAATTAATACCCTAAATATCCGTCACTAGCATTTAAGTATAAAATAGCAAATAAAAACTGAGGGTACGTTATTCCATTAAAATCTTCGAAGAACAAAAATGAGTGTTATATCACTGACTGACAATTAGTTATGACTAGTTATAACTTTTTCATCTCATAACTGTATCTTTTTTTTGTTTAACCATCAGCTGATTTAACCATCAGACTTATTTATCTAGCCATTATCTAGCTACTGCTGCTCTAACCATTACTGGCTAGTAACGACGTTGACATGAATTTATTACCTTGTGGCTGGACATTCACGAGGTTCAATTTCTATTAAGGATAGAGTGACAGCTGAGTTTCACGAATTCGGGTGATATTTCATTTATGTGAAGTGAATGCTTCACTGTGAATCATCGAGTAGATGTTTTCACTTAGGATTGGAAAATATATCTGGCGTGTGGTACACACACACACACACACACACACACAGTCGACAGAGTAAAGGTTGCAACATTTCTTTTTCGATGAGTTTTGTAGCACACCTCGTATCCAGTAGGAAAATGTATCTCCTGTGAATGACTGAAAAACAAATTCTTTTATTGAACACGGGATACGTTGCAAAAAAAAAATATTGCGACCTTTAATCTGCCGACTATGCGTGCCGACGAAAAAATAAGTCTATTCTGATCGATTGAGGGACATTCGTACATATAAATTAAAAATTCACTCTAAGCTTAAATTAACGTTTTCGGGGATATTGGCACATAAGTATGCATTTAAATACGTTCAGTTTTTTTATTTAAAACATTATGACGAACATCACTGTGAATAAACATCCATCATAAAATTCTACAAGGAAAAGAAAAATTCCGTTATATGATTAACAAATATCATATTCATATCATTTTTTAATTCAATCATTTTTTTCTGATTTTAATAAATTTATCTTCAAAGAAGCTAAATTTTACTTACTCTTATAATTCCAAGTTACGGTATTTTCTCTATTTCTTCGAAAGAAATTCACTCATTTTGAGCGGGATACAACATGTTTAGAGAATATACAGCCAGCATAATAGCCTTAATATTGATTAAATCTAGAATTATCCAAAATTTTTCTATATTCTTTTCTATTCATAAGCTTAATGTTTACACGTATTCATGCATTATGACTATCGATTATTCAAAGAAATTGCAACAATACTTTATTACTTCTTCTTTTATATGTGATATTATATATATTATCTTAATGCCATTCTGTCTAAATGACATTTGAAATATTATTGTTGTTTCTTTGAATGAGAGAACACACATAATGTGTGTGAATTTAGTGCGTCAATTCCAATGTCCCTAGTAACGCTTAGTAGGCATTAAGGCTATTATGCCAGTCCGTGAACAATCACTGGAAGTCAGATTACAACATTCGTACCTCGATGAACCTCAGAACACATTCAATAAGGAAACGTATTTTCTGAGAAGCGAGTTATTGAGAAGCAAATTCTCCTATTGGATGCGGATGCATTGTGAAAGCTATTCAAGAAAACAGAAGTGTTGCAACCTTCCCTCCACTGATGATTATTCCTGAAAACTCACGTCGAAACGTTGTTACGATTATTAATCGCGAGCTTGCTCGCTTGATCGTTTCACGGAAATATCTCTCGAACAAATCGACCCACGGCCGATCGTTGACTCTCTCCCCGTTTTCCGTTCCTCACGACAAAATGCGCGCGCGCGCGCGCGCTTCAATGCTCTAACGTAATTTATCGTTTTGTTTTTCGAAACTCCGAAATAGACGCGTCGATAATCGATACGGCGTCGCGCGGCGACGACGAATATCGTCTCACCGAAACCGCTGATGTAAATACGTAAAATAATTCCTTCGAAGCAAACGACGCGAAGTGCAAACGCTCTTCATACATTTAGCCTGGCTCGCGAAGAAAGAGAGAGAGAGAGAGATAGAGAGAGAGAGACAGAGAGAGAGGGAAGGAAGGCAGGCAAACCACTGTCAATGTTGAGCGCACCTCGCGTACCCGTTATGTAATATTTGTCGTATGTTGGACGTTGGGTATACTCATATTTTCTGCGGAAATAAATCGGCGAGGCTGAGCCAAGGAGAGACGGCGAGCGCTTGACGGCTGGCACCTTGAAAATGCTCGAGCCAGCCGCTCCCGTTCATAAACAGTTTCTGCGTTCGTTAAAATTAAACGAGATTTCGCTCATATACTGCTCGATACTGCTCGTGCGGAACAAGATTTTACATATAAATAGCTGTTATATATATATATATATGTGTGTGTGTGTGTGTGTGTGTATACATACATATATATGTAAAATCTCGTTCCGCACGAGCATTTATATATATATATATATATAAATCAGCGAAGCCATTAATGTATTGATTAAGAAAAAATTATATATATATTAGCTGTGTTACGTGTTTTTTTCTTTTTTCTTCAACGTTTGTTTCGCTTTTACAGCCGTCATTGGTCGAGCGAGCGAGCGAGAACTGCTGCGCGACCAATCTCGGAAATAACCTCGACATCCGGTCGCCGAGACACTGACCGCCTTCGCAGAATTCCCGCCCAGGAAGTATTACGATTCGGTGAGGTTGTCCGTATTGGGTTTACGCTTAGCGGCATGCCGCTCGCCGTCTCGAGATTGTACAAATGCAAAGACGCTGCCAGACGTTTGTTCTATAATAAATATAGAAATATAAGATATAAATTAGGTATACAAAGTGTGTAAAGTTTCTGAATCTGCATCGAGTTTCTTCCGCTCTTCTTTTTCAGTCTGTTTCCGTACAAAATATATTTTACAATATAAGGCTCTAAAGTTCTAACACATACACAAACACATACACACACACGCACAAAAGGTTTTTCAAATTAATACGCTGACAGCATCGCTGATTTTCATTGATTAGTTCAATATTTAAACTGTGACTTAAACTTTGTAAGTACTTGAAGTTTGAGTTACTAAAAGTATCAAAGGTACGGTAAATCTAATTAAACGGTTACACCAGGCTTTTGGGCAGTTTGCACTTTTCCATAGATTTCGTCGACTACCATACCTACTTTTCTCGTTTTATAGTATCTAAACTCCTCTTGGAGATCAGTTCGTAAATACTGGACAAATAAAAGTCTCTGCACGGATATATTTAGTAAAATAATAAAACGACACCAAGTTCTCAATGATAAGGTATTCGACTATACATATAATATTTCAGACATTTCGGTCCAAATCCAGGACCCTTTTCAATGAATATGACAATGCATTAATATAATAATGTCAAGGACGCTAAATAAAGTTACAATAGGAAATGTTGTCAGATTTTTAAGTCACGCGGTACATCAATACGATTCGGTACCACAGGCATATTGGCACGCGTTAACCTTTGTATACATTTAATGTCACCTTAAGTTTTTTATCGAACAAATCAAGCCATTTACTAAAAAAAACCTGTTGTATAACGCATTTTAAAATCGACCACGTTTCGCTATGATGCGGAATATCCAAATTGGGACGATCCTCCATTCATACCACCCGCAAATGTTATTCGTTACTCACTGGTACGATTAAGAAAGAACAACCGCTCCCTTTTTTCTCCGTTTTTAAGTAGTAAAGGACGTGTGGTTGCAGGCGGCAGGCAGGAAAATGAAGCTCAGGTATGCTTAAGACGGCGTGACCGCTCTCCTTCTTCTCCACTATCGAATGATAAAAAACAGATAATAGCAAGCAGCAGGCAAGGAATGCGCGCGCACCTCTTGCAGCAACCTCATCAGGCGAAAATGGTCGTGTTGCACGTGCTGATTAGAATGAAACCATTTCGACGTTACCTATTTAAATCATGGAAACAATATTCTTCTTGGAGACGCTCAATCTTAAGGATGGTATTAGCTAAAAATCGTGTCGGAATTTGTGGCGAATGTTGCTCCACACGCTGTTCACTATTTAGAGAAATATTATTATTATTATTTCTATTAATAATAATAACAATAGTAATACTTCTCTAAATAGTGGACAGAGCACGGGACAACACTCGCCAAATCTCTATATGATGACTAGCTAATACCATCCTTGAAATTGAGCGTCTCCAAGAGGAGTCTAGATGCTATAAAACGAGAGGAGTGAGGATGACCGTCGGCGGAATCCATGGAAAGTTACAACTAGGCCGTTAGGTTATACAGTAAAAAATTTTGTGTAAATATCCACTGAAAATTTCGTGTTACTTTAACAAAATGGATATGTTAACTTAACAAATATTTGTGTAGTTTTTAACGTTTTCCACGTTAAAGCCTTCTGATGTCTAATTTGCATATTGAAATGTCATAAATCGACAATTTTAAATTTGTGGCAAAGAAAATGTCACTCGCCATGAATGTTCTCATACTATATTCGACTTTGCAAAGTGAAATGTTACGAAACTCTTTCAAAATATTTTAGCCTTCATTTTTGCATATTATTTCATCGCTAACAAGTATAATACCGACGTTTTAGGGAATCATTTGGTCAGGTCGAATTGCCTGGAAAAATTCTACAAATAAATTCACTCTACATACATATATTTACATATATTTACTAGAAATAAATGTTACACATGTGGATATTATACTAACTCAAATCTGAAATCTTTTCGGGTTCGCGTTCGGTTCGAAATAAAACCGGCGAGCCGTCCGTTCAGTTTTTCTCAAACCGAACGCGAATCTTTTTGCGCCGTTATTACATTCAGCTCTTCAATTCCTCAATTAGAGTCCTCGGTGGAGCGGTTTGCCGACCATGACCTCGTTACGCTCGCGCTCCGCGCACGATCCGGGAAAATAAAGACAGAGAGAGCAAGAGAGAAAGAGGGAAAGACAGTTTATTGGATCCGCGAACGAGGAGGATCGTCGCGCATCGAGCGTCGCCAAATATCTCTCGGCGATCCATGCGGCGGCCGGGTATTGCGCGGGTGTGACGTCCTCGACGAGGCGAGGACTCGCAGCGAGCCGGTGTAAGGATAGGAGCCAATGGCCGGCTGATAAGCGTCCGGTCGCCAAGGGATCGCTGCCAAACGAAATTTTCTACTCCCTCGCCTCGTTCTCGTCGCCCTCCTCCCCCATCGTCTCTCGTCGTCGTCGTCGTCGCCCCTGGACTCACGTGCTGGCGGAATCGGCGACCTCGTCCAAGGTTCGACGAAATGAAGCGAGAGATATTTCAGCTGCTAATAGTCAGCGGACCACCCTGAACATTCAAGGAACGCTCCTCGGTCGTCTCTTGAACATCGCCGTACAGCAGAATCGTGAAATAACAGGCGACAACGCGCGATGATCGCCGAGCTACGAAGCTAGATTTAGCGCGGAATTCTCGTAGACCGGCTGCTCCAGGCTCTCTCTCTCTCTCTCTCTTTCTTTCTCTCTCTCTATCTCTTTTTCTTTTCCTCTCACTTATTCTCCCTCTCTGGGAGGGAAGCTGGAGGTCTGGGCCTGTTAACGGCTGTTGGGACCGAAATACACATCGGCAGCGCGGATGCACCGACGAGAATTGTTCGTTTTTTTCTCTCTCTCTCTCTCTCTCTCTCCCTCTTTCTCTTATGCTTCTCCTGCTCGCGCCGCCGTCGCGGCGGAGATAAATCTTCGTTGCGGTACAGTCGGTTCAAGTGATGCGCGCGCTTCGCGAGCCTTTCGGACTGGACATCGCCCTTTTCTCGTGAGCTCATCGAGAGTTCCAAGGAAAGAAGCGGTAATCGTGCGTGAATATTGCGCGAATATGACTCGTCGGATACGCAGCAGCCGAAAAAAAGATCTCGAAAAAAGATCTAACTTTGGCTTCCGGGATGGAACCGCGTTTTTGTAGATTTTTCGCTCAACGTTTCGTAAACACAGTTCAATCTACTTCGTCAGAGAGAAAGAGAGAGAGAGACAGAGAGAGAGAGAGAATAGCAATCTGATACTGAGTTGTTCCTCAGCAACTATTTCTTTAAGAATGAACAAATATCGACTAATCAGGAAGGGGTAATGGCGGGAGGACGAAGTACGGAGCTAGAGGAAATTTTATTTTGTGAAATATATTCAAATATTATAATATTAAAAAATAAATACACGTTATTTACAATAATACAAATGTTACAATATTTATATATATAGATTTTATAACGTTAAATATGAAAATATTAATTTGATCAAACGTTAATTTGATCAAACAACAAGAAATCGGATGGATAGATTGCACAATTGAGCTGACTTTCTGTCCGCTTTCTGTTAAGGTTATTGAGATGCTCATGAATTTGAGAGAGAGAGAGAGAGAGAGAGAGAGAGAGAGAGGGGGAGAGAGAGAAAGAGAGCGCTTCGTTCTACTCGACGACGAATAAATGGGTAATAAGTTCCCGAGCAGATGCAGAGGCAATTACAAGCGACGAGCATATCTCGTGCCCGGATGAATCGGTCTGGCGACACTTCGGCCGTGAAAACAGTTGCATTCGGTGCCGGTTGTGCGTCTTTGCCAAGAGCCCGGACCGAAATTATGTCGAATACATCGCACTGTTATCGTTAACGTAGAACACACGCACGCCCGCTACGCACACCAGCGAGATGAGAGATTATCTGGATTACATGCAAATGCAGAAGAAGAAGTCGGTATCGACGATGACGCGAGCTCCTCGTGACGCGCGTACGTGCTAATATCCTGCGGAGATGCGAAGTACCGCACGTGGCATCCGTCCCGGCGCGTCGGCAGCCGCGTTACATAACGGCGGTTATACCACAAATCGATATCGTCGTTGCGATGCCGGCGATAAGGAAAAAAACTGCCCCGCGCATTTAATATCTGTTACGAGTTAGATTAGATTGAATTTTTGCGTAACTCCTTCATACACACACGTTCGCTCTGTGCGTCCAGGTGAACACAGGTGCAAGATGCCTAGACTCTTCCTGAATCCGGGAAATTTGTCACATTCCTTTGTGCCCGCCGTTCTGGAGCTTTTAAATCAGAATAATCATACTTTTAATTATAATTTTTAATACAGAATAGAGATGGTTATCGTTATTCGATATTTTCCTTGTAATCGATATCAAAATATCGAATGAAATATATATTTGAATAAAATATCGAATATATATTTATTAAATATTCATAAGTTTGCAAATATTTTTCACGTTAAAACTATTATTTACATGCGTTGTACGACGAGTATTGTTGGATGTATTGACGATTGGCTGTCAGATAGAGCGTTTCTAAGGTTTCTAATATTTTCTCCGGTCACTCAAATAACTTACAACTGCAACACTGCTCGACCCTAGATATTTAAGAAAGCGTACAAATAGTCTCCTCTTCATTAAGAAGAAGTTATAATACAGCTCAGGAGATTCTATTATAAGTTAAGTTATAATACTGTCAGGAGATTTAAAAAATAGCAAAATAACAAGACCAATTTTCTCCAATATTAGAAAATATTTGTGATCAATTGATTACATTTGTAAAATATTCCGGAAACTTTGTTTTTACATTAACAATCAATAAATAGTCATAAAATTAATGTGACGAAATTATGAAAAAAGATAAGCTAAAAAGGAAGATTACATATTACGTTAATTTTTATTTAATCGCACAAAAACTTCTCTTTATGACTAGATTTTACGTAACTTTCTCCAGTAGCACTCTTCATCGTTCGAAAGGTTCAAGGTTGATATTTTTACTTCATGTGTGTATTATATATATTACAGAATACACACATCGTTCACCTGTAACAATGCGATAGCTTTAAAAAAAGGAAAAGAAATCCCCTCGTCTCGGGTGCTCATGAAAGTTTCTCGGAGTTTCTTTCTTCTTTCTCCTCGATAATGCGGTGGACATGATATCTTTAGCTCGCCGAGTTTTATCTACATTCCGTTGCTCCGTGTCTCCCAACAAATCTCTGAAAATTACGCGTGTAACTGCGAGTGTAATTATTATTACTACCGCGATGCGATCGACCGAAACGGATGTTCCGCATGACACACACACGGATTTTATTTCCGCCGATAGTTATCTCCGTCGCTTCGTACTTTCAGAATGTCGTTTGATGCACGATAAAGCATCTACGTGCGACCAATATCCCGCAAATTAGTAGTAGATACGCGCGATAAATCGCGCGATTACTCAGTGCGAGATACTCGCGATCAAACACGGAGAGAGGTGTTTGGTACTTGTGACTCTCTTTCTCTTTCTCTGCAATTATATACGTGGAAAAAAGTGCTGTTGTATCGATAAAATTAATTAATAGCGCTATGATTGAAGTAAACCTTCTTAATTCAATAGTGATATTAATTGTCATTAATAACTATCTACTATGATTCTCAATACTAATAACTATTTTATTGCACGGACAAAAATATTGTTGTATCGATAAAATTGATCAACATCTTCGTCAATTGAATGTGTTCATAAGTTGTGCACCCGAGCAAATTATCATCGTACAGCCTTACAAAAGCCTTATTCGGTTTCCATATTTTAAGTAGGGCCCGGATAAGTTGTCAAATCCGGCTCGTAATCAGGAATGAAACGCACTGTTGCATCAGACCCTGATTATATTGTCTATATTCGAAGAACCTGATTAAGTACCTATAAGATATGCGACGGATTAGGCTTACGTAGTGACGCCATTACTTATCAGGATGATAAGATCCAGACCTTTACAGGTGGCAATAGATATGCCGGATGAAGGCCAGAACAAGATATTTTATTATAACTGCTGAAGCTGGTGTTATAAACGACCTTATAAAGATCATTTCCCTATAAACGCGTAATATTCTTAGAATATTATATGAATATTATTCAATATTGAAATAATATTCTTATAATATTCTAAGAATGTTATGTAATATTTTTTAATATTAAAGGAATGTTCTTTCGATGTTATATGTCCACATAATATTCTTGGCATATTATAAAAATGTCCTTAGAATATTAAAGAAAAAATTAAATAATAATAATATAGAATGGGTAAAATAATATATTGAATCATATTTATTGGGCACTAGAATTTGCTATATTTTATTTCTACTTAAGCAGCCGTCCGATCGTCGAGGTGCAGCAGCGGTGAATGCGGTTGGAAAGTGGATGGGTGACCCGACCGCCGACGATTTTTTTTTCTCTGTGCATGCATACTGATCGCTCGCAGAAAGTTCCGCGAAGATTTGTGTCTGCTTCTTCTGAACGCTCCAAGTGAGCTATAGTCAACTTCCAACAAGCTGCACAGCCGCTTGTGTCAGGCTTAGAATACTTCTCCACGCAGTTTATCGGACGTATGCGTGCCGAACGCTCGACGAAAACTTTCTCGACTGGGTGTATGTTAAACATGTTAAAAATTCATAGTTATATTCATCGTTGTTCCTTCTAAGAGAGAGGTTTTATTTTGAATAAATGTGTAGATTTGTAAGGAAGCATTGTGTGTTTTTAAACAAAACTAATTTCTAAATATATTTTAATGGGGGACCACATTACTACCTCTGTTCTGTCTTCTACTCATTATACAGTGTCGTTATATTTTTATAAATAACGTCCTATATAATATATATTTCATAATTTTTAAAGTCTAAAATCGACGGAATAACACTTCGATGAATATAATCGTTAAGTTTTCAATTCGAAATATTGATTATAAACAAAGTGATCATACAAAATATAAACGGGCTTTATAACACAACATTCTCCTCTAATAATAACTTCATATGCGTATTACTATTGCTTTTAGAACAACAGAAAGATAGAGTGGACACCGGAAATGACTATAATTTGCAATGAGATAGCAGTCTTTTCTCTTAATATGTCACAATCGCGATTAATTTATATCTCTTCGGTGTGAAACACAGGACAATATTTTCACGCGGGAATTTGCGACACGTTTCCCACTACTTCGTAATTTTCTTGGCTGTGATGCGACCGATGATGCTTGTTTACTCCTATGCAACGTGAATATAAACGCTATTTCAACGTTGACGGTTTTATTCACGACGATAACGGAGAAGTGCCATCTGGCCGGCATCGTATTTCATCACTTGAAATTCTCTCCGAGCGAGGACTTCATCTAAATTAAAGAGGCGAAAGAATTAAGTCGACGATTGAAAATTCACGGGAAAATTGTACTGGTCGCTTATCGTACAAGATCGAAATTTCACTTCTCGAATTTCTGAATCCAGGTTCAAAAGTTACTTTGTCATTTGTAATACCGTTATCGTCACAAAGTAATTTGATTTAATAACGACTTGGTAACAACTTCGTTTTTTTTTGTTATCCAGCAAAAAATGATTATATATGATTATATATAATTATATAAAATCGTATATGAAATTTTCCCATATATGTGGTTATAGATATGATCATATATGTCTCTATGAAAGGAAATGATGGTTATGTCATTTAATTAAATGTCGATATCATGTGTTGTCAGAAGCACAAGTAGCTGGAAGCATTTACTTCGACTGTATTTGCATATAATTTGTAAGCAACGGTACTTTTACGTTGTGGACATATGTGATTATATATAGTCATATATGGACAAACTTCATATATGATCTTTTTTCCCGGGTAGTAACAGTAACGGTAACGCAATTATATCTTCTAGGTAACGGATATGATCATTACTGGTATTACTTTACATAGACTGGTATTACATGCAAAATACACATGCGTGTCTTCAAAATTTATTAAGGTACATAACGAAAATTGTAACGACTCGTTATGACGATAACGAATTATTTTTTAAACTATTATATCCATTATCGTTAGACAAAAAATTGCCTTAAGGCAATCACGTTGTCGGGCCCCTACTGAAAGAAAGTTACTTGTAACGGTAATAACGTTAAAATTAAGACGTTACTTCTCAAGTTGAACGATAAATAATATATCACTTTTAATATGTGAGTTTCCTAACCCTGGCTGTGACATCTATTATATTTTTAAGCCACCAGCGCGGTGCGCCCGAGACTTCAGTGCGACTTCGTTCGGCGAATACTTCACAAATGCTAATTAGCACAGCCGGTGCTTTCTGGGCAAGCTTCTGAGTCGCTCCGCGCGACAAAACGCTCCGCGCTCGGTGAATCCGCGCCCGGAGAGCGCGATCTATTTTCGAGCTCGAGGAATCG